CCAAGAGAAACATTACGCTCTCTTTGTTTTAAAAACAAAGCTTTAAATCTCTAATTTTCAAAGCTCTTAAATCTTCCTGGAGATAGGCAGGTTTCTTCTTATGAGCAATAACTGAAGCTTGCTTCAACATAAACGTCACATCACTCTAACAGACTACCTCAGCCTGGCAGCAACAGGTCCTCTCCCTGCAGGGTTAGGTTACACACAAATGGCAGCTTCATGGTCCTCTCCATGCCTCTAGCAATATTTCTCTGTGAGCACAGCCACTGGGCTGATCTCCAAAGACTAAAGACTTACTGGTCTTTGGTTGAGATGTAGTTTCATGATTACTAATTCTGTGTTCAACATATTTTTGGGCAAGGCTAAGCCAGGCGTCAACAGTCTCTAGGGCTATGTTGCTTGTACTATGTACCCTCTGAGGCCCACTCCAGTCATGAGATCAGTGTGAGCAAGGTCTGGTGTCAAGAAAACCAAGGAGTGGTACCATGAAATATGGTTATGTTAAGTAACAAAGAAACTAAAAATTAGGGGCTGGAGAGATAGCTCAACAGTTAAGAGCATAGACTGACCTTGCAGAAGAACTGAGTTTGATTCTCAGCACCCACATGGTGGCTAACTACTGTCCACAACTCCAGATCTAGGGGATCTGCCGCCCTCTTCTGACTTCTGCAGGCATTGCACAACACAGGTGCACTTACATAATATAGGCAATACACTCATATGCATAAAATATTTTTTAAATAGACTAAAAAATTATTTATGGACTGAATAATAACCACTTTCACTAAAGAATAAAATTGAGGATCCAAAAGGATCATTTTCTGTGCTGTGTGTGTGTGAAGGGTAGACTGAGTGTGTGTGTGAGCATGTATATAGGCCAGATTGTGTATGTTTTGGTATGTGTGTGCATGTGTACACACACACACACACACACACACACCCTTGTATGAGTAAGCCAGAGGTTGACACTCAGCTTTTACCTGGGTGCTGGAGATCCAAACTCAGGTCCTCACACTTTGCTCAATGATATCCCCCCACCCAGCCCTGGGACTTTTTTTCTGCAATGAAGAGCCTTTGTGCTTATCCTTTAACAGTTTCTCATTTTTCCCATTTATCTTCTCTCTCACCATCTTATCCAGTTTTGTGATTTTATAAATAATAAATGTACTATTGATTCTCAAGTTTGGATTTCCATACTGAAATCCAAACTTATAAATTCACTGTTTACTCAACATGCTCAGTTAGATTTTCAGTAGGAATCTCATACCTAACCTGTCTAAACTGGAGTTCCTAGTTGTTTCAGAAAACCTACACTTGTTTGCATTCTTCCGCATTCCAGTCAATAACACAGTTTATAGTTGCTTGATCCAAACCCTTGGGATTGTGCTCAGTGCTTCTAGTCATCTCTATGGCAGTTAATGGATAAATTTTATGATCTCAGCCTACTTCAAAATGTTTTATTATGATTTTACATTTTAATGAAATTGAGAATTCTATCAAAGTTACTGCTTCTCAAATTTTGGAAAAATAAAATTCTTGATTATTTTCTTTTCTATAATTACAAATGAAAAATACTAGTTAACAACTTTATGTTTGCTCCCCTAACCTATGTACTTGTAACTCATGAGTTCTCAAAATACTGCCCTTCTCTACACATTCTCAATTTCAGTTGGCTGGGCTTGGTGGCTCACACCTGTAATCAAACCTGGGAGGCTGAGGCAAGAAGAACACTGAATAAAAGATCAGCCTGAGTTACACAGTAAGACCTTATCTGCACCCCCCCAACACCCATCAAAAAAAAAAGCAACTAATTAATTTCAGTTAAATAAAAAGATTTTGTTTGCTTTGTTGAGATAGTCTTTCTTTACAGCCTGTGCTAGTCTAGAACTTTGTATGTAACCCAGGCTGTATGTAGTCAGAGAATCTGCAATGTCATGAACAACTAATCACAGTGATAATTTTTTTTTGTTTTTGTTTTTGAGACAGGGTCTCCTGTAGCCCCAGCTGTCCTGGAACTCACTACGTAGACCAGGCTGGCCTTGAACTCACAGAGATCCGCCTACCTCTACCTCCCCGAGTGCTGGGATTAAAGGCATATGCCACCACACCCAGCTCACAGTGATAATTTTTTAAGATTGTGGAGCAGTATTCCTTTTTCCAGGAGTTGTATTTCGAGTTGAACTAAGTGTTGGTTTTTGCTTTTTCCTGTAATGCTGGGGACTGTGCCTAGGGTCTTGCACATGCTAGGCAGGCATTCTATACTACTAAGCTATATCCCTAGACCACTTTTTACTTTTTTTATTTTGAAACAAGGACTTATTAAATTGCCAAGGCTGGCCTTGAACTCATTGTGTAACCCAGGCAAGACCTGGACTTTCACCCTGCCTTGATTAGCTCAGACACTAGACACAGCTAACACCCTTTTTGAAACTGACTCCAATGGCCTTCTGTCTTTAAAAAGTTCCTCACACTTTCTGGTTTTCACAACTCCTAACAATAATTTTACTAAAGTTACTGTCTTTATCTCTAAAATACTATTTTCTCTCCTATAAGGAGCTGAAGGAATTCTACATAATCTCTTAAGGCTGAAAGGATTTCCTTTGTGATTTTCCTAAATAAAAATTTTTTTCCTAGTGACAATTTAACAATTGGTCCATATTATTTAAACTTTACCGGCTGGACATGGTGGTGTACGTCCTGTAACCCTAGCTACTCAGAAAGTCAAGGTGGAAAGCTCTCAAGTTCAAGCCAAGCCCAGGCAACACAGTGAGACCCTGTCTTCAAAAGAGGCACAGACATACACAGACACAGACAGAAGAAAAGGAGGGAGGAGGGGAAGGAGGGGGGGAAGGAGGGGGGGAAGGAGAGGAAGGAAGGAAGGAAGGAGGAAGGAAGGAAGGAAGAAGGAAGGAGGAAGGAGGGAGGGGGGAAGGAGGGAGGGAGGGGAGCCTACCTTCCAAACAATAAAACAAAACAAAAAAAAGAGAAGAATTTCATAAGGCCAAACAAATTCACAACTCAGAGTCTTAGGTGATCCTGAAAGCCTCATCTTTCAACCAGTTACTTCAGAATGAAGTATCTGTGGAATAACTGAGAACCAAGTTTAAAAATGTGACTAAGTGCTTAAAACTTATACTTAAAGAAGTATAGATTTTGACCAAAGCTAATGTTAAAAGCCTTCATTTACCTTTCCATTCATATTTCTTACATTACTATATTATATATATGTATACACACACTTTAGATGTATGGTACATGTATTACATGTCAACATATAAACCATAGTAACACTTAAATGACCCTTTAATTATATAATGTATATATTACATGCTCAATAGATTTTTTAAAATGTTTAAATAGAACTGAATAATGCATTGTCTTCTGAAATTTCTTTTCTTTTCTTTTTTTTTCAATTTGTATGAGTGTACTGCCTGCATGTATGTGAGTACAGCCATGTCATGCAATGCCCCGGACGTCAGAAAAAGGAGTCAGATTCTCATGGAACCGGAGTTAAGGATGGTTCGCAGCAACCACGTGGGTGCTGGGAATTGAACCCAGGTCCTCTGAAAGAACAGTCAGTGCTCTTAACCGCTAAGCCATCTCTCCAGCCCCCTGAAATTTCTTATAAATTTTCAGATACAGAAGAGATAGATAACTTTCTACATTTTAGGTATATAAAGTACATGTCAGTTTTTCAAAAATTTGGGTGGGTAAATAGAAAAGAAAGTTCAAAACATACAGATGTTACAAAGAAGGCAAAGCTTGATACAGTGGTATATTATCACTTGATGAGAATTGTTTGAACTCCAGAGTTCAAGATCAGCCTGAACAACATAATGAGACTCCATATAAAAACATAATGAGCTGGACAGATGGCTCAGTGATTAAGAGACTTTGCTGCTCTTACAAGAGACGGGAATTCAGTTCTGGGCATCTACATTGGGTGGTTCATGACTGCCTGAAACTCCAGCTCCAAGGGATCTGATGCCTTCTTCTGCCTCTTCTGGCCTAAACCAGCACCCCCACACACATGCAGCTTACTCACACACAGGCCAGCACACATGCACATGCACACACACAAATTTAAAAATAAAATCTTAAAAAAATAAATAAAAGGAAAATTCTACATGATAGGTATTTGCATTAAGCCCTAAGATCATAAATAAAATCCTTTAAAATAGAAATGCATCTCTTCTAATAGTTCCTTCACTATATTGTAACTGGAAAAACCCAGAGAATATTAGAAATCACAGGTTTTGAATTAGAAGAGGCCTTTCATTAACATAGCATTTCAAAACAAAAATGTTAGACTTAAAAGTCATATATGATTCCTACACCTGATACTCAGAAGTTGAATCTGGATGGATAAACAATGGGGTAGCAATATTAGTTAAGAATTATTGCAAGAGCTCAGCAAAAGGCAGCTGTTAGCTTCTGAACCAGGATTTCTGTCATTTTAACATACTCTGGGAAGGTGTAGTGGCACATAATCCCAGCACTTGGGGGAGGAAGGGAGAGAGGCTAGCCTGGTCTACACAGCAAATTCCAGGCCAGCTGGGGCTATAGGGAGACCCTGTCTCAAAAAGAAAAAAAAAAAAAAAATCCTGGTGAACATCTCTCTCCTACTTAGTACGAGAAAACTAAAGTGCATCACCCCATAACATGCAATACAGAACATGTTTTTCCAGTTCTATATTGTCCTACCAAATCCATTACTTCTCCACAAATCCTCTTAAACAGAAAGTACCAAGCCTGGATCCATCTCCTCAGCCAGAAAGATTAAGTTACTTTGTAGATGTCATATAGCTAGTTAACACAATAAAGCCAAAACTTGACCCTGACTCCATCAAAGTATTCTTTCTACTTCATTATGTCTTAAAGATAAACCAAGGTTTGTTTTCAAACCAACTACTTGTACTTATGGGAAAAGAACTATACAGTTAAAACTGGATAGTAAAAAGAACCTTTATAGCTAAATGCAGTTATTTTAAAGGGCTTACCTTTCTACACGCAGGACAAAGCCCGTTCTCATCAGTGCGAATTCTATGCCAACAAAATCGGCAAATCTGGTAGCCACAGGTGCAAGGGAAAAAGTTGATATCGTCTATCTCCAAGGGCTCCATGCAAAGAGGGCATTCCACAGGGTCTTCCTTTGCATCAGGACTGCGAGACATCTTCACGTTTATTGAACAGCAGCAAATGTTTATAATAATTTAAGGGAGAAGGAAATTCAGCACTGAGAGCTAAAATGTAGAACTTTGAAGACCTGCATGAGAAGAAATAAAAAATGCCATTCGCTACTGGAAAAAAACCCACCATATTACAATCAAGAATCACATTATCAAAAAACTTGGAAAATATTAACTTTGCTATAAATCACTGGATGGACTTCAGAAAATTTCTGCACATAAAGATAAAAAAATTGGCATTATTAATTTTTTGATGCAAAGGAAATATGAAAGAACTTCTTTATTACTTAATTGTAACACTAATAATACATTTTAGGAAAAATAAAGAAGTATCTTTACTTTAAAATAATTTGGAGCCAAAGAGATGGCTCAGAGGGTAAAGCACTTGCCACACAAACCTAATAATCCGAATTCGATCCCCAGAATCCAGAGAGAAAGGCGAGAACCAACTCCTGAAAGTTTTCTCCTGACCTCCACATACACACCATGACATGCATGCAACCTGCACTCATTCTCCGTCCCCCCAACAATAAATTTTAAAAAATTTAAATACACACAGTCTGAACTATTCATTTTTGACTAGTAAAACTAGCTAGTAATACTACCAGCTAAAGGAGCATTATTATTACAGTATGCCAAAATGCATCACAATTCACAGAAGGGACCAATGAAAATGAGAGGCTCAGATCAGCTACAGCTACATATTAACACCAAGTTTTTACCCAGAAAATACAAGTTAAAACTAAACAAGCATGCCATAACTATTCATAACCTATGTAATACTATGTCAATGAAAACTGCTGAGAAAATAAACACATTTATAAATATTCCTGTGGTAAATACTACCCCCCCAAAAAGTCTAAGAACAAGGAAGAGGGTAAGAACAAATAGATGTTTATACCCCATTCTTTTACGTTACAGGTGAACTGTTGTTAAATTATAGAAAGTTGAAAGCTATTGCTAACAATTTTATCCTACAGGTGAAGATGAAATCACTATTTCCAACTAAAAACCAACAGGCTATAAACTAATCTACATCTTGATGTAGCTCCATCACAATCACATCACAGTGGTTTAAAAAACAAACAAACAAAACAAAACCAGGAGGCTGGAGAGATGGCTCAGCAGTTAAGAACACTGGTTGTTCTTGCAGAAGACCCAGGTTCGAATCCCAGCACCCACATGGCAGCTAACAACTGTCCATAACTCCAGTTCCAGGGGCTCTGGCAGTCTCTTCTGTCCACCACGAGCATTGCATGACACAGGTGCACTTACCTACATGCAGGCAATACACTCATGCACATAAAATAAAAATAAAAATAAAAATAAAAATAAACGGGCTGGAGAGATGGCTCAGTGGTCAAGAGCACTGGCTGCTTTTGTAAAGGACCTGGGTTCGAGTCCCAGCACCCACATGGCAGCTAACAACCCTGTAACTCCAGTTCTAGGGGATCCAGCACCCTCTTCTGACCTGTGTCTTCTGACACAGGTGCACTTACATGCAGGCAATATACCCACACACAAAAAGTAAAATAAATGAAATATTTTTTAAAAATAACAACACATAATTCAACAAAGTGACCTAAAAGTCACAATGAAGAGCACTATATGGGAATGACTGACATTTGGGGGGGGGGTGACAATTAGCCATATCAGATACTGAACTGTCTTCTACAAAAGTAAAGAAAGTCGATGATGAAACAAAAACCTAGAAACAGACCCAAGAATAAATGAAATGTTAATATTTAACAGAAATTACACTACAAATCAATACAGATGAGATGGGCCAGTTTATAAACTGTAAGAGAACACTGGAACACTAGTACATATCTAACTTACACTGTAATAAATCCCAAAAGATCTGCCTTAAGAGCTATCCAGAGAAGTAAACTAATGGTGTCTTGAAAGGCAAAAAAAAAAGTTACTTTTTCCTCAGGCTCTGTCTCCTCAAATGAGAAGTCATAAAAAAGCAGAACTGAGGGTCTGGAAAGATGGTTCAGTGGTTAAGAGTGCTTGCTACTTTTTCAGAGGACCCAAGTTTGGTTCCCAGCACCCACATAGCAGCTCACAACCACCTGTACCTCCAGTTCCAGACACTCTTCAGGCACCAGGCATGCACATGGTGCACATACATACATGCAGGCAAGCACTCATATATGTAACATTTAAAAAAATAGAGTTGAGCCAGGTATAGTGGCACATGCCTTTAATCCCTGCACTCAGAAGGCAGAAGCAGGTGGATTACTGAGATTGACACCAGCCTGATCTATGTAGCAATATCCAGGCCAGCTGGAGCTACAGGGAGACCCTGCTTCAAAAGCCCAAATCAACAGGAAAAAACAGTGGCGCTCAACATGCTTTCCATTATACTGGTGGACGCCTAATGGAAAATGGTCCTTTATTCCCGTGATATCCTGCACTATTGTTTCTTTTTAAAATTTTTTTTTTAATTTTATGTGTATGAATGATATGCCTGCATGTAGGAAAGTGCACCCGTGTCGTGCAATGCCCAAGGAGGACAGAAGAGGCTGTCGTCGGATCCCCTGGAACTGAAGTTATGGACAGTTGTTAGCTGCCATGTGGGTGCTAGGATTTGAACCTGGGTCCTCTGCAAGAAAGGTCAGTGTTCTTAACTGCTAAGCCATCTCTCCAGCCCAGCACTATTGTTTCTTATCCAGGGTTCAAGAATAAAAATGCAAAGTTGAGTGGGGGGATGCGGAGTACAACTGCCTTACTAACATGGAAAGAAGAAAACAAAATGAAAGGCACGCAGCTAGATGGAAGCAGAATGTTCTGTTGTGACACTGCACAGCAGGGTTACTATGGATAACAACAATGCAATGTATTAAAAAAGCAAGGAGGATTTTCAAAGTTAGTGTTTGAGGAGATAAATACACTGAACCTGATTTCAGCATTATACAATGAATACATAAAGATAATGGAATTTCATTAATATATAACAATGTTTTCATATATTGGTGAAAAACAAATTTTGAAAATTAAAGGTAAACAATAAGCTAAAGGATACACTCATGATACGTAATAGTATGCCACCCCCAAAAATCTAAAGAAATCTTACAAAGGAGTATGGTTAAGCAAATGAGTAATACAAAAAAGATGAAACCAGAATATGACAGGTAATTCACAGAAGAATATAAGCATTTTTTTCCCTACCAGCCTATCAAGTTAGTTTACCCCCTCAAAGCAGAGATTTCCACTGGTCTAGTCCCTCTGGATAAGAGAAAACAGTAACCCATTACACTGCTTTAAATTACATCACTAGTCTTGATTCTTTCCGGCAGTCTTTTAAAATCTGTTTTCATTCACTCAGTTTTACTATCTAACTATGACTCTCTTCTATGCGGTACCAAACACTTTGTTATATTCAGCAACCATTATTTAAAAGAGTAGAAAACTGCAAACATAACATCTATCTAGACAGAAATCATTAAGTAAGTTAAGATACCGAAATAAAGCTGGGAATGATGGGGCATGCTTGCAATTCTAGCACCAGGGAGGGAGAGGTAACTGCAAGTCTGAGGTTAGCCCAATCTACACAGCAAGTTGCAGGCCAGCTAGGGCTACAATGTGAAACCATGACTTTTTTTTTTAAATAGAAGGAAGAGTTTATTTGGGCTTACAGTTCCAGGGGGACAGGAGTCCACCTTAGTGGAGAGGTGTGGCAGGAGGCAGTTGGAATAGAAAGCTGTGGAAGCAGAGAGAATGAAACTGGAAGTGGGGCATGACTATGCACTCTCAAAGCCCATCCCTAGGATGTGCTTCCTCCAGCAAGGCTTCATACAGCTCCTCAAGATTCCATGACCTTCCCCAAAATAGCACCAATTGACCGAGTGTTCAAATACTTGAGCCTATGGGGGTCACTTTTCATTCAAACCACCACATTGTCCTTTCTTATTTTATTAAGAGCATTTATTAAGTATGTATGCTCAATTTTTAAAAAGTTTATGTGTTTATGCCTGCTTGTCTGTATGTGCACCAGAAACCATGACTTTTTAAAAAGGAAGCTGGGCATGGTGGCACATGCTTTTAATTCCAGCACTCAAGAGGCAGATGTACGTGGATCTCTGTGAAATCAAGGCCAGTCTGGTCTATATAGCAAGTTGCAGGCCAGCCAGATTGGAGGCGGGGCAGGGAGATAAGGTAAATCTATGAATGTTGACTCAGAAAAATGCTCTCATTCAAACTTTTAAATGGGCGAGATAAAGACTAACATTACTGCGTGGTGGCACACACCTTCACTCCCAGCACTCGGGAGGCAGAGGCAGGCGGATCCCTGTGAGTTCGAGGCCATCCTGGTCTACATAGTGAGTTCCAGGACAGCTGGGCTACAGGGAGACCCTGTCTCAAAAAGAGACCAAAAAAAAAGGCTAACATTACTATACAATTATTTCTGTATATACAAATTTTATATATAGTAGACCATCTTTTGCTTTAAAAAAAAATCTGCTATTATCTAAATTGTTACAAAATGTTATTTTTGAAATTCAAGGGGCCAAACCCAAAGAGGGGACTGTTTGCATTTCCTTGAGAAAATTTCCAACCTTGGTGAATAATTAGAAGGGGGAAAAACCTTTCACCCGTCATCAAAGAAGCTTCTTTTTTCCAACAGATAAAGACTATTACAGAATTAGTCAAACACAGAGAATAAGTGTCTGTGAGACACTTAACCCTAAGTGGCACATCTTCAATGCAACCTTTACACTTAGGATGAATGCACCTCTCAACTCTCCCCAGAGAAGTTTCCTTATGTAGCAGATGGTGATTAACACAGAGACCCACAATTCACTAATGTGAAAGAGAGCAAGAGGCCACAGAGTGCTTATCCCTGAATAGGACACCTATTTCAAACCTCTGCCTCCCAATGCTCAGGGATCTGGGAAGAGGAAGCAGAAAGATTGAAAGAGGAATAGGAGGGAGATGACCACAAGGA